TTGTTTTCAAATAGTAATGTGCAATGAAATTAAAGCCCTAAATCCAAATCTTCTTATATAACCCAGAACAAATAGCCCAAGGATAATACCAACTACAATGTGTTGGGCCCTTCCACATGATTGTCATGTAAAACAATCTTGTTTCTAATAAAAAGTAAATGAAAAAGAAAAAGAAAAAGACTAACAGACTTGCTTTAGGCCAATCTTATGGACACATTTTCTTAATTAAAATTCTCTCTTCTCAAATATCTAGGTTTGTATCAGGTTGACAAAAAAAAATCAGCATATACACAGAACTAAACTGTCACTCAACTAAATAATAAAACTTGTTTATTAGCCGGGCAGTGGTGGCGCATGCCTTTAATCCCAGCACTAGGAAGGCAGAGGTAGGTGGATCTCTGTGAGTTTGAGGCCAGCCTGGTCTCCAGAGCGAGTGCCAGGATAGGCTCCAAAGCTACACAGAGAAACCCTGTCTCGAAAAACAAAAAAAAAAAACAAACAAACAAAAAACAAAACAAAAAAACCCAACTTGTTTATTAATCCCTGTGTTTTGTTTTTTTTTATTGTCTTAGTGACACACTACTATTGAGGAGGTTGTGGAGAATATGAGCTATTATGAAGACTTGATATTTGGAAGATAAACCAAGTAATATGAAAGTGAAATCAAATGGGTAGAAACTTTCAAAGCAAGAGTATAGTTAATCAATAGGATGAATGTTCTCTCTTAAATAAGAATCTACACTTACAATGATTATCTTTGTGCCTTCTCATTGTTCAGTTCTCCTCAGTTACAAACATGGTAGCATGTATCATAAGGTTGTCATGACAATTAAAGGAATTAGCCCATTTAAGTCTTTGGAAAAGAACCCGAAACACAGTAATGTTCAATTAAAATGATTAGTCATTACACAAATAACCAGAAACCCATAAGGGCACTTTTGTTACTTTGGAAGAAGTTAATGGTGATAATCCCATTTGAACTGGGAAAGCTTCACGGAAGAATTGGGAAGCTTCATGATTATATGATAGGAGAGAGAATTTTGTAAGTTGAAGGTGACAGAAAGTGTCAATGTGGGATCAAAGTGTTGATCAAAGAAATTTTGGAGATAAGATCTTAAATTAGAGATGCTGCATGCCTCCATCCCTAACCCAGAAGCTATCTTCAACTGATAACTACCTGAAAATAAAAATTTAGTTTTCTCCAAGGGAGTCTTACTGGGGAAAAATCTACTTGTAAAGGTAGACAACATGCCCAGAAATAGATGGCCAACAGAAAATAAACTCAATGACATCTCTGGGGGCTCTTTGTCTCACAACGTTATGTCAGGGCTTTTTAAAAAAACTTTTTATTTTTAATGTATGTAGTATATGTAATTAAATATAACATGTTATATTGCATATACTACACACACACACACACACACACACACACACACACACACATATTACTCTGTATGCAATTTGGGTATATAATAGGACTTCCAGTTTTGTGTTTTCTTTCTTTCTTTCTTTCTTTCTTTCTTTCTTTCTTTCTTTCTTTCTTTTTTTTTTTTTTGGTTTTTTGAGACAGGGTTTCTCTGTGT